GTGTGTGGGTGTGTGATTTCAGTATTTTCACGTATTAACTCTACTGTGATTTTTGGGGTTAGGCCGATTTCGCTCAAACTTGGCAGGCGCGTCACACCTTCACCCTATTTAGTAGGATAGCTGTGAAAAAAAGTTCAACAGCCAACAAACTTCGCGCTAAATATATCTCCTGCAAATTTAGGATAAAACACTTCAGACAAGCTCATTCTACTGATTGAGTGTGGGAAAAAAATTTCTATTTGAATTTTTTATATTTTTTTTTCATTACCGAGAAATTGGACCCCAAAGTTGAGGTAATTGTTCACCGGGAATGGCTTTTTAACTCTTCTGTGATTTTTTTGGCTGCGCCGATTTGGTTCAGGCAAGTCACACCTGTATTCGAGTTATGTGGTAAAATATGAAACAAATTCTGTTCCACAGCAATGGCAGCAGCCAAAAAAACTAATTTTTTTAATACCTTCGCGCCAAATGTATTCCACCCTACAATTCTAGGATTAAAAAGCCCGGACATGGATCATTCTACTCAGCTTCGAGTGTGGGCAAAAATATAAAATATACTGTTTTAAAATATTTTCATTACCGAGAAAATACCTCAAGTTTGGGTAAATTTTCACCAGCAACGGCTTTTAACTCCTCTTTTTGGCTTGGCTGATTTTGTTCATACTTGAAAGGTAGGTCGTGCCATAACTAATTGGAAACAAATCCTGGCTCACCGCTGCCATGGCAACAGCCAAAATTTATTTTTGAATACTTTCGCCCCAAATGTATTACCTCCTACCAGTCTTGTAATAACAGTGTTCAAATGATCATGATTTTTATATTGGCTACGTTGCGCACTGGTAAGAGATCACCGGCGCCGACATTGTTACACTGTATCAACGTAATCCCAACGCAACTTTGAACGAACAGTAAATGCTGCTTTCAATCTAGAAAATACTAACGCAAAACGGTTGGAAAGAATAAATTTAACAACCGAATACGCCCAAGTAATCAAGTAATTGACTTCTAAAGACTGAAGGTTTTTTGCGAACTTCGTATACGGGGCCCGGTTATAGTTATAAACCGACGTTATCTTCCCGTTCATGTCCAACCAGGCAACAGCTGAAAACATGTTTGTTGAGCGGGGCGGATCGCAAATCAGCCTACCGGCTTGTTGTAATTGAAACTTAATTTTATATTCACCATTTAATTAAATGTATAAAACGACCCTGAGCAAGGTAAATTATAATAATTGCATTTGTGTTTAGTGACAAAATAACAATAGAAACAAGTTTTAAAAAACGTCTGCTAGCTCGTTTGAAAATTACACACTTTTTTCTCAAAATGATGTTTTTGTAGTGTTGCCAACTAAAATAAAACTATGCCTTAAGAAACAAACGTTTTTGTGCACTGTGGTCATAATCTAACAATAACCAAATTTAGTAAAGATCAGTGTTGCAATGAATCGATGATATTGCATTGATTGAAACTTTGTTTAATGCAATTAAAAGCAAACTTACAATCATAAATAACAACACAACAAGAGATTAAATAATTGCTCATTATATTCATGATGTAGTTCAACAGTCTTAATGCATTTTTTTTATTTTACTGAAAAGACCGGCTTCTTTGATAGCAGACTAATACAAACAATTATTCATGCAACAATTACATTCCCAAGCATTCAGAATGTCGTACTCTGTGACTGAAAGGGCCGATATTTAAATTTGACCTGCAACACGATTAGGGTGTATTGATTAAAGTCAAACTATTATTCTTAAGTTGATTGCATCAAATAATAGTTAATAGACCATTTCCGTTCATTGCGAGATCTCTCGTTATCGCGTGAGATTCGAAAATTGCTGAAGTATTGTGGGGGTATTTCTACGCTTACATCCCATGCTGACTATGAAATGAAACTAATCAACGTATAAGCAGCTCATCTAATGAGAGATCAAGTTAACCTGTATATTGTATTTGACACATTACTGTTAATTCAAAAACTCTTCTTGGATGCTGTTCATTAATATGTCTAATACCACGCATTACATGTACAGTTTCAAAATTGAGCATTTTCACGCTGCAAGCTGCTGGCGTTGCTACTGTGTAAAACGCTTTAATTTCGCAAAAGACATTTTTTACGCATTCTGTGAGTCGGTGAATATCACGAAATTTAGTATCAGTGAAAATATTTCTGATATTCTCGAACACAGACTGTCGGATCGTAAAATTGAGAAGATTTCAGGCAGTGAAAATTAAACTGTATACAGTTGTGTATGCAAATAACAAAAACGCAATTTTAAAACTTATTTATTCACAATGGTTGTATATGAAAATAGACACATTCACAATCACTTGTAGATATGTATTCTACAATGCAAGTCTTGATCAATGAATTTGTATTAATAGATGCATCGTATTATCAGATGTTAGTTATCATATTGTGTTATCAGATGTGACAATTAATTCAGGTTTTGAAATTCATGTAGTCTCTGATACAGTAATTTCGTATGTAATTAAATGAGTATGCACAAAGGCAGTTCGATGAATATATTTATATTTTAAAACCAAACTTTTCGAATCAGAATGCTGCAGTTTGGAACTTTTATACACTAGTTGTCCATTTTCTGAATCAAGTCTCTAGGATGGGTTTTGATTCATAAAAGTCAGCCCATTGAGCCATCTGGAACGCAACATACTGACTGTTAAGACTATATGATGTTTTCTGTTAAATCATGAGGATTCTCAAGTAATTCAGATCTTGCAAATATATACCACCTACCATAATTTCAGTATGCAAATTTCATGAGAATAATGACTACAAATTTAGAAAGACCCATGCATATACACAGGCGTGCTGCATTCATACATTGCATAATACATGTTCTAAGACTTTTATAGCATATTCCTATTGAAAGCAATGACATAACGAATGACACGTGTTTACAGGACTTGCTAAACTAGAATTCACCCAAAATATATACGTTTATAAATAGTTTAGGCAGGTGATTTTTAGTAAGATAAAGCCATCATGAAGATATTAAGTTCTCTTTATTACCATGACCAATTAAAACCATGGATAACTATTGTTTATCAAGTTAGTTATTTTAGAGATTGTACTTGGGTTTTAATATTTACTTTATCTTCTTCAGAATTGTAACATGAAATACATAGTTTTTTGTTTGGATATTACATGCTATTCAGTGCTAATGCTAATAAATGACCTTGGCATACCTCACATTAATCCTCAACTCTGCATCTCCAGCCTGTCCATCGGGCTCAACTCACCGGCACTTTTGGCATTTAACCCGCACCTGCGTCATTATCCAAACCATTCACAGCTTTATGCGTAACTAGCCCATGCTTTCATTGTCCCAGCAAACTATCTCGATGTATGAAACTCGCAAAACACACACACACCCACCCACCCTGCATCTCTATATGTAACTTTGATCTTTTGTTGTTTTCTTTTCAATAAACACAATTTGGGGAATTGCCACACAGAGCATGCTGGCTCTGGTCGGGTACGACATTGCCGTTACCATGACACAAGTCAAATATATCTCAGTCTCCTTTTATTAGGTCAGTTGCTACGACACCCAATGTAGAGCCACTGTATCGGTAGGTGTTATTTGGGTAGCATGCGTTGCCACCTCATAATGACACTCAGAAGTTTTGAGGATCACTATGAGGTGACACATTATGATGTCTAGTGTGACTTTCACTTCCTCCACTTCAAACAGCAATCCTGTCTATGTGTTATTTCTTAGCATTAACATAAAATAAAAGAGAATTAAATCATGTTTACTTCGTGCATGCATACATAAATATCATTTTATTGAGTTGCAGGTTTAATCAATGATAATTGTTTTAAGATGATTAAGGTAATTTCAATATCAATGTTATCATAATTGTCACACAGTACACGAACCAATGTTTCAGTACAAAACAAAACTAACTACTAACTTGACTGCTACATACAGACTTTTGATAACTACATGAGCCCGTCTAATCTATAATCTAATCTATAAATTGTCCTGGTGCATTTGATTCAGCAGCACTCTATATGGTATCAACACGATATTAAAACTATAGCATAGCATAGCATTTATATGCTCTAAACAAATGCCAAGGATGATTTTTTTTGTCATATCAGCCATGCAATTGTATTCACATGTCACATATTTCAAATCGGAGTCACACAAAGCAAAATACACATTGGCCAGTTGATTGACAATATTTGTGATGTAATTTCTAATCAGTCAGCAACTGGCCACATCACAGCTCGTCGAAATCATGCTCTTACTACAGAATGGTCAGATACTTCAGAAAACTTGCAGGTTGTTCATTAACCAGAGATTCAGCCTCTAGAATGTATTGCATCAAATCATGAAAATAATAGTGGAGATCCAGTAATATCATCCAGCAAGATGTAGCAATTTAAATGTATGATTTGGCAGCAAATAACTGTTCCTTGAACCACACAAATCTTATGTCTAATTTTCTTGTGACTTGTGGACATACAATTTACAGAGGGATCCAATAAATTAGAATAATCTAGTTGATTGAACCTTCTTCTTTGGGTGGCAGTAATCTATCCGTTTCCTTTGGTTCCGCATCGTCACCATTTTCCACAGGCGACTTGACGTTTATATTCTGAGTATGACTCGCTGCTTCTTTCTCTTTACGACTCATGTTCAGAACTCCACCCTGAAACACAAAGTAGACAACAATTAACATA